AAGTTGTATTGATTGGTAAGTGATGGTAATGATGCTCATGATAATGATGAAAATAATGAAATTGCAAAAACGATGATAAGGATAACAATAAGAATAATAATCCCATCTTGTGGGATATGCAAATTCATACAGATAAGACGACGCCAGCAAACCGGACATCGTGGTCAAAGATAAAAAAAAACTGAAAATGTACTATCATGATATGGCCTTCCCATCAGAAAGAAACACGTCAATCAAAGCAATTGAAAAACTATCCAAGTATAAATATCTGGAAATTGAGATTCAAAAGATGTGGGGCATGAAAACTGAAGTGAGTATTAGGATTAGTGAAAAAGGACTGGATAAATACACCCAGTAAGAGATTCCTGGTAACATCAGCAGCTGTGAAGTCCAGAAAATAGTTTTTCCACCTCTCTCTGTCTCTCTGTCTCTCTCCTCTCTCTCTCTCTTCTCTCTCTCTCCCTCTCTCTCCTCTCTCTTCTCTGTCTCTCCTCTCTCTCCTCTCTCTCTCTCTCTCTCTCTCTCTCTCTCTCTCTCTCTCTCTCTCTCTGCTCTCTCTCTCCTCTCTCTCTCTCCTCTCGTCCGCTCTCTCTCTCTTCTCTCGCTTCTCGGGAAGTCTCTCTCGTCTCTCTCTCTCTCTGCTCTCTCTCTCCTCTCTCCTCATCTTCGTCTCCATCTCTCTCTCTCTCTCTCTCTCTCTCTCTATCTGCTCTCTCTCTCTCTCATCGTCTCTGCTGTGGTGTTCTCCTCCCTAGTTGAGAATATGATATTGATAACAATAGGAATAGTATTAATGATAATAATGATAATGATGACAACAATGATAATTTGATGATGATTAATAATAATAATAAAATAATAATAATAATAATAATAATAATAATAATAATAATAATAATATTAATAATAATAATAATAATAATGATAATGATAATAATAATCATAATGATAATAATGGTATTAGCTATGATAAAGACTGATCATCTACTATTACTACTACTACTAGTAATAATAATGATAATGATAGTAGTAATAATAACAATAACAATAGTAATAATAATCATGATAATAATGATACTACTACTACTACTGCTACATTCAGTAGTAATTATAACAATTATAATCATAATGATAATCATGATAATGATGATAACAATAATTATAGTATTAACAATATCAACCACAGTAATGAAAATAATGATGATGCTGATAATAATAGTCGCCATGTGATTACTAAATTACAATAATGAGTATTATCATTACTCTTACCATCGTTATAATATATGGTTCTATTTCTATTCTATTCCTTTCAACTAGCTTTTTGATCAGACAAGACCTGTTAATCGAGACTCGAAATAACAGAAAACGGACACCAAACGGGGCGAGCGCGGGAACAGAAAACGGATGCGCAAGGGAAAGCGAGCCAAGTCTGAACGACCAGAAATTAATATTCATGACACGTCCTGTCGCCGGGGAACTGCTTGCTTGCCCGACGGGGAGGGGGGGGGGGGGGGCAGCGAGCAGTGCCCTTCGAGTGCCGTGATTCCCCGGATGTGGCTGTGATTCCCCCGTTTAGTGCCTCTCGCTCTCTCGATCTGTCCTCTCACTCCCCCCTCCCCCATCACCACTCCCACCTGTCTTTTATCACATTGTTTCTTCTCGTGTACTGTAGTGTGTGGTGTGTGTGTGTGTGTGTGTGTGTTGTGTGTGTGTGTGTGTGTGTGTGTGTGTGTGTGTGTGTGTGTGTGTGTGTTGTGCGTGCGTGTGCGTGTGGTGTGTGGCGGGTGTGTGTGTATGAGGGAGGGAGTCACCCACAACCGTGAAATTGACATTAACACCTCCTTACCCCCTACCCCCCCCCCCCCTTCCACCTCTGAACAGACCTCAGTACTCTAATTTCTCTTCTTGCTGAGTGCCCTTTGCGAAAACGTGGTTCCCCGGATGTGCACTGGTCTCCCCCTCCCCCCTCCCCCCTGGTACTTCTGCTGCTTACTTACATTTTAATTCTCCCAATTTCCCCATATTATTTTTGTAATTCCCCCTTCTCCCTCCCCCCTCCCCTCCCTCCCTCTCGCCTTAATTCTTACCCCTTTCCTAAACCACCTTTCAGTGCCTCTTCAATGTCATATATATTTTTTTCTTTTGTTTTCTTTGTTTTTTTTCTTTTTTTGTTTTCTTGTTTTTTTTTATTTTTTCTATTTTCTTTTTCTTTTCTTTTTCTTTTTTTTCTTTTTTGTTCTATATTTTTCTTTTTCTTTCTTTTTTTTTTGTTCTATTTTCTTTTTTCTTTTCTTTTTTTTTTGTTCTTTTTCTTTTTCTTTCTTTTCTTTTTTGTTCTATTTTCTTTTTCTTTCTTTTCTTTTTTTGTTTTATTTTCCCTTTCTTTCTTTTCTTTCTTTCTTTCAGGATATGGCACTGAGATCTTTCCTTTTCTTTCACTATTCTTCATCTATATATCCTATGCGTATCCAGTGCTCATTTCCCCTCCCTCACGCCCCTCCACTGAACACTGGTCACTGAGACCCCTCCCTCCTCCCTCTTTCCCTCCTCCCTCTTACCTTGTCCTCTCTTTATCCTCAGTTTGGTTCAGTTGCCCCTTTCCCTCCCCTTTTTGCCCCCCCCCCTGCCTCCCCTAACTCATTCAACAAACACCTCCCTCTCGCCTCTTTCTCTTACCCACACCCTAACATCCCCTAAATCATGAAAATCTCACCCCAGCACCCGCGCCCCTTAAAAAAGCAAAAAAAATATATGCCCCTTTAAGAGAAAATCTCCCCCCCCCTCTTTTAAAGAAAAGAATATTATATATTGCCCCATTCAAACAGAGACAGACAACCCCCCCCCATAAAAAACGAAAAATATAGGCCCCTTAGAGAAAATCTCCCCCCCCTCCCCTTATTTTTAAGAAAGATACATATATGCTCCCTTAGAGAAATCTTCCCCCCCCCCTCCCCCCCCCCTTTAAAGAAAGATATAATATGCCCTCAAACAGAGAAAATCCCCCACCCCCCTCAACTTTTTAAAGAAAGATAAGTATAATACCCCCTTCAAAAAGAGAAATCCCCCCCTCCCCTTTTTAACCTGGAGAAATATCGTATATAACTAACGTAATATATAGTTGATAAAATCTGCCTCCCCCATTTATCGAACTCCCTTGTCTTAATCTGTTTAAAGGTCCGGTCAGAGATTTAGCTTTTTCCGACCTTTGCATACTGGAAAAAGGTGGTCGTTGCGATCAGCCAAAAGGTGAGAGAGAGAAAGAGGGGATGTTTTAGAGGAAGTAGAAGGAGAGAAAAGAGAGGGAGGGAGGGAGGAAGAAAGTGAGGGAGGGAGGGAGGAAGAAAGTGAGGGGGAGAGAGGGAGGAAAGACGGAGGAGGGATGGAGGGATGGAAGGACAGAGGGAGGGAGAGGGAAGAAGAGAAGGAGAGAGAGAAAAGGGATTATCTCGTTTTTTTTTTTCTTCTCACTCTTTCACAAGCACACTACGTACCTTACCTACCTCTTCTCTCTCTCTCTCTCTCTCTCTCTCTATCTCTCTCTCTCTCTCTCTCTCTCTCTCTCTTTCTCTCTCTCCCTTCTCTTCGTTCTCTCTCTCGTTCTCTCTGCTCTCTCTTTCTCTTTTTTCTGTCTCTCAACTCTCTCTCTTTAGTCGTCAACCTTCTCTTATCCACCTTCATAGTTCTCGGCAACTTCTCTTTCGTCATAACGCACACCTAACTTTCTCCAGGAAACGCTAAAGTGATTGGTTGATACATGGAAGCGCTAGTAGGTATTGTATAATTCGTCTTGGCTTCTGAGGTATAAAAGTTAACCACATATCAATTATATATACGGACTTAAAATGGCAGTTTATGCGCAACATGGATGGCCAACGTGCCTATTTTTATTTTTTTATTCGGTTATTTATTTATTTCATTATTATTATTATTATTATTTATATATTTTATTATTATTATTATATTATTATTATTATTATATTATTATTATATTATTATTATCATTATTATTATTATTATTATTATATTATATATTATTTATTTATTTATTGATTCATCATTATTATTATTATTATTATTATTTACATTTGCATGTTCTGGTGCATTCGTAACTGTTATATCACCCTTTATTTCACAGAATGAAATTCCTTTGATAATCCTGAACACTGAATGGATGATATTAGTGCATGGATTTAATATGACAAATTATGTAAAGCGCGGGTGGTAAACGAGCCTAAACTGGTTCTTTTTTGTATCCATATTATTACGTTATATTTGTTATATCATCCTTTCACAGAATGTTGGAAAGTATCTCTGTTCTTGCAGTTGAATTGCTTCAATTACCTTGATCACTGAATGGAAATTTTTTTTGGCATTTATCACAGAAGTTAGCATTCTTTTGCATTATATTTTGGCACTATTATCATTCTTGTTTTAACACGCGCCAAATCTTTATTTAATGGAAATCTCCGCAATTTTTAAACTCGCACTGTTACTATATTCATATATTCAGATGCAGAGTAATTTCCGTGAGAATTTCAGCATAGATTGATCACAATCATTAATTGAATCGGTTATTATACTGCATTTATTAACTAAGCAATTCGAATAACTATTCACCAATTAAGTATTGATACCAATAATTCATAATTATACTTTTTGTCTTATTTCACCCACCGTATGTATTTTGTTCTTGTCGTTTTGACTTGTATCCTACACTAAATCTCTGATATATTGTCTAATGTATCATGCATAAATTATCATGTATCATGTCATGTATGTATTTTTTATTGTATGGTAATACTTATAAAATTTTCGTGTGCTATGGCGGACAATAAACATATGATTGTCTCCTATATTACGCTCCATTTATAACTCTTTTATATTACACAGTTCCTCTGACTAAGGAATTGAAAACATACTTTTCCTATTGCAGAAAATGGAACCGTGCATTTCTCTTTTGCCATTTTTTCCATCATAAAGCTAATGAAAAAAGAAAATAGATTTAAGAAATGCAGTTTTCATTAGTTTATTATGTACAAGAAGGCAACAGCCATAAATAAAGTATCAAATAAATACATACATAAGTCAAATATTAAATAAGAGAAGATTTACATATCACAGAGAAACGCCCAAGGACCCATGGTATCAGAACCTATTTACAAAGTACCCTTTGGGAATATATCACAATAAGTAATGAGGATCTAGCTCTTAAGTGATAAAGGACTAAATCCCAAGATCACGTTCACGGGGTCGCCAGAACGTAGGTTTCAATGGCCTATAACTTATAAATAGTATAAATACGTGGAATTATAAGTTCATGAAGGCGACATCGCAAGTATTGCTCATCGTTCGGTGACGATTTCAGATATTGCAATTTTGCGAAGGAGCAATCGCATAGTTTGATGCATAAATTCCAAGATTAGGAAGGAGACGATCGCATGAAGGGAATCCCATCCTCCTCAGGACTTGAAAACCTTCTTGGCAAGCGATTTGATCGCATGCGCGACCTTCTTGGACAGACTGAGTGGGACTTCGCTCTCCCGCGTTTCCCCGCCTTCACCTGGCCGATAGTTCACCTGCTGCTGCTGCTTCTCCACGATGCAAACCAGGTGACTCTCCCTCAGGCTTGGTCTCCGAGGAACAGTCTCGAGGGGCAGGTCAGGCAGAGCCCCTCCGTCGGTAGCGAGCCAGCGGGAGTCGGTCCTCCTGACGAATTTCTTGTTGATGACGGGTCCGGACTGGTCGGCGGACTTGGCGCTCTCCATGTCGTACTCTCGAGACTTGGCGCTCGTGATGATGATGCTGGAGGAGGAGGAGGAGGAAGAGGAGGAGGGAATAGATTAGTACCGATTTTTTTCTGACACGAAAATAAGATAAACAAAATCGACAACCGTTAAAAGAAATCAGCAAAACTAAAAATAGTTAAAGAACAAAGATAGCAAAAAATTCTACCGTACAACAAATATTCGCATCGAAAAATATATCGTTTTGTCTTTTAAGTATTAGAGCCATCCGATACCACGCACAGAAGGATCATCTCAGCTTCTCTTAACACGAGGAAAACGCCCTAGAGACTCACCAGAAGAAGGCCATCATGAGGGCGCTGGCGGAGGCCCCGAGGAAGAAGTGCGCCGCCGGGAACACGCTGACGGTGGCGTGGTAGACGGCGGTGTAGAGGGCGGAGTTCACCATGGGCATCAGGCCGTCCAGGGCGCCCAGGACGGCGGACACTTTGCCTGAAGGAGGAAAAAGCCGAAATTCAGGTCACGAGTAAGACATGGTAAGAGAATCACAAATTTTGCTCGTGGCTTCCGGTTCCTCAGTAAAAAAAAATAATTAAAATACTAACAAGTGGCTTCCGGTAAATCATCAGTAAAAAAATATATATTAAAATACTAACACGAATTGAGTCATGATATATTGAGAAATA